GAGAGAGAGAGAGAGAGAGAGAGAGAGAGAGAGAGAGAGAGAGAGAGAGAACAATGGAATTGCCGAGGGCAGTTTTTGAGTGAGCGCATTTGGATAATCGTGTTCGGCGAGCCTACTCGCTTACTCTGCTTCGTCGAATTTCAAGCGAACGCTGCGCGAGAGAGCGAAGCTACACGGGTCATAAACTCCCTAATAGCTTTCGGACTAACAACGAGTACGATAAGACCGCCCGTCTGCGAGAACTGCAAGAAGGGGGTCGAGGTTTCGCGCGCGCACGCATTCGAAACACTCCTGAAGATTTCGAGTAATGCGCGGCAAACGAGGGACTTTATTTAACTCGTGGGAGAGGCTGGAGGGAGCGTGCAAGTTCGACGCTAAAAATAAAGTTTCGGAGCGTCGCGTCGGTTAACCGTTGCAATTTCTCTTTAGCGCCCTCGCCTCGGCCCGTTTAATTGAAAGAATCCACGACTCACTCTGCCCGCTGATTACGGCGACTGTATCTGATGAGGGCGGTGAGATGTTAATCGAAAAGCAGACCGCTTAACCGCGCCCGCTGCTCGCGAAATTTTACTGAAATTCCATGGCATCTCGTCGTTCCCTCCTCAATCGCCTCGCGCGAAACGAAATTTATTAAATCTTATATTGAGCGTTTTCAGATCTCTATCGAAAAGTAATGTAGCGCAAGCAGTCGATAATGAACTGTTCGTGCGAAGTCTGCGCCGCAAAATATTTACGCGGGCTGGGCGGGAAAGTAAATCAGTAAAAAAAAATGCTTCTGATTGAATCAGGAATATTTCAATCGATAATCAATGGATTTTCACTGATTTTAAATGTAAACATTGCCACTTTACTGCTTCATCTTACATCTCACCGATTTTGGTCAGTGAAAGTAAAACTTCCCTGCAAAATCTGTGAGAAACACAAATTCGTTATTTCACTGTGCCAGAACCAACTTTTTGCGTTGGTGGTAACGAATTAACGGCTTGCGTGCGATTTATGTGCAATGACACTATCTATGTTTGCAAATTGCATGAATAATAGAAACAGTCGCTACACGGGAAAGACAGTATGGCCCACACATAAATCTGGTTGTGCCAACCAGATTCTCGACATTGACTCTGGTTGGCACAAACAGATTTACATATAGCCAACCGTATTGTTTTTTCCGTACGACTATCAACTGATTTTTTCAGCGAGATTTTACTGATCGCGGTGCTGTACTTATGACTGAACCGCCGGCTGTGAATACAACGATTTCAGTGAAGAATACGCTGATTGCACTTTAGAGAAGAGAGTGCAGCCGAGCGCGAAATATCGGAGGAGCGCTGCGTGAATGATACCTTGAAAACATCCGCTTACTTAACGTCGCATAAATCGTGCCGAGGCTTCGTGCCCAAAGATATCTCGTGTCGTTAAATTTCGCTAAGATAACAGATAACACATCGCAGACGTCGTAATGAATCATTTTACAACGGCAGTCACGCCGCGCGTTACATACGAACGAGGATCGCCTGTGGTAGATTGCGCGTGTCAGAATGTGAAAGATAACGAGCAATTACCGTAGTGTAGCGATCTCTTCGTCGCGACGCGATTTCGAGCGTTGCTGGGATAACGATGGACGCGCGCGCGCATTGATGCGTGTGTGTGCATTACGCTACCACATCGAGAAATAATTCCGCAGCCCCCTCTCGACCCGACTTCGTCCGCTGTTTTCGCATTCGATCCGCGGAAGCTCCCGCTTTTATATAAACGCGCGTAACGCCGCGCCCGGCAGCGGGCGGTTTAATTGATCTCGGTTATGAATTAGCGCGGGGAAGAAAAGCAGACGGGGTGGGTGCACGGGGAGACATGAGAGATGGCGTTTTCGTTGCCTCTCCCGTCGTGTGTTTCGGTCGTTATCCGCGATTTCGGAAGTAATCGTGTCCGCGTGGACCCATGCAATTAATTCCTACTGACGATTCGTCCCACGATTTCTATTTAATTGCACGCGTGTGTTAATGCTGCAATAATTGCACATACGTCGCCAGAATTCTAGTGTGTGTGCGCGTAACACCAAATGTTACGCACTCTTCGAGGCGCGTCTTGTGTCATCGACAGCCTGCATATATCTCCCCAACAATACCTTGAATGATATTCTAAAAACTTTCGCGCTTGCTTTCCATGCTCACCTCGTTATTATTGTAATGATTGCACACGTCCATGTAAATAGGATATTTTACAATTCTAAGACTCGTTATCGACGCGCGCAACGTTTTTCAATTTCATGCAAACCTCGTGCCGCGCGGAAAGCTTTATCTATTTATGAGTAACGTAGAAAAGTTCGCTGGGAAAACTCACGGCATTGTTGGAGTCCAACAGGATCCTGGATGTCGCTGAGCTGACATTGTAGATCAGCAGATTGCCTATCTCGTCCCGGTAGAGGATTTCGTCTCCTGCAACAACGAAGAATAGGCACTCGTGAATCGATGCAATGTGTTTATCGCATGTGTCGCTGTACCGTCTACTTTCCTTCGCGCGCAGTTCCTTTTCATCTCAGAAAAATGAAACAGTTACGGATCCCGCTTTCTTTAACCGCGATTCCCGAAAAAACGACTTCTCTTTCGGTTCTATTTCTTTCCATTAGAGACGCGGTGCGACCGAATGAGGTTAGCGACGAAAAAATAAAACTCCGGTAATGATGATTGATAGATTGCCCCGACATTGTCCAAACTCTTTTGTGCCCTCGTGCGAAAAGAAAGACGGAGTTTTCCCAGAGCATGATGGAGGTTGAGACAAGATACGTTAAGAGAAAGAGAGATAATAGTAAATTTCAAGAGAGGCCGTCCTTCTCGAAAATCGGTTTTTCCGAGCCGACGGTGCGCTGTTTCATCAATCTTGGCCGGCTCTGTAAAAATCCCGGAATAAAAAGCGTTGAGTTAGGTCGCGATAGAGACCCCTGTGAGTAAGAAATATTTTTATCGTTATCGAGAAGAACAGGAAAGAGAGAGGAGGGCGGGAAGCCGCGGCATGTTTGTTCGACAAATTTTTTATCAGCCGCTTGGAACGCGGAGGTAAATGCGCGGCAGCAAGAATCAGGAGAGAACGAGAGCAGAAAAAGAAAATAAGAAGAAAAAAGAAGAAAAGGAAGAACACAGGAGGGGTATAGAATAACGTCTCGCGAAAAATTTCTTCTAATTGTCGAACAGCCGCGATCAATAATACAGCAAATTCGCGGTGAAACCGTAGCGATTAATAATTCAGCGGTATTTCGGGGGATATGTTTGCTCGAATCGGAGCAAACTGGTTGTGTTTCCCCGAAGAAAATAGCGCGGGTGAGCCGGCGGATTTTCAGCCGGAAATTAATCTTCCGCCATTCTTACCGATCTCTCTTTTCTCCCGGGAGAGACACGCGTAAGGGGCGCGATATCGTAAAATCGCGCGAAGAAAACGACGCACCCTCGAAATACTAAACAAACGTACCCCTTTAATGCGAAAAGTCTGCGTGTTTGTGGTATAAACTTCGTTCCGCTCGGCCGCTAGTTGTTCGCCCGACCGACAAACAAGGGGTGGCGTGTATCGCAGAATGAATCGCGCTGTCCGACGAGACATGGTGAGCTATTTCAACGTACGGCCCGTTAGGTCGTAGAGAAAGTTCGCGTTTTCGACGATGGAAGATTTTCCGACGACATGCCGCGGACTTTGATCCTTCGAAAGGGCAGTCCTTTGACGCCTCGCAAACGTTCGCTGATTTCGTCTGGTTTGTGAGATGCACATCCCGTCTGCGCGACAAGTGCGAGAAGGCTGTCTGAGAGGGCGGCTCTCACGTCAAAATTTAAATAACCTGAAACCGCGGAAAGAGTGGAATTCCTATTGGAGATGAAAGCAGTCAGCTCTACGGGGTTACCCCCTGAGAATCGCCACGGTGCCGCGCGCTTTTCCCATCTGATTATTTGTCCAGAATAGGAAGTATCTCTCGCGAGAAGTGATTTGCATTAAGGACTAGTTGTTCTTGGTAAGCTACCCAACTTAAATCATATATTTGTTTTTGTCTAATTTGAAGAAAAAACGAAGACAGACATATGATTTAACTGTCAAGTAGCTTACTGAGAGATTGAAACAATCGATCCTAAAGGAACGAAATACCGGGGATTTGACCGATTTCTCATGACGGATAATACGTTAACGAGACACCGACGTATTTCACAGGGGACACAACGTAAGATACGCGCCATGCAGCGACGTCGTTGTCGTCGTCGTCGTCTGGATGGCGAACGAGACCCGACGTCTTCCGGGATTTCGTCGCGACGGCATTGGCGGAGACTCGCAGGAGGAACAGCCATGGCGTTTACGATTTACCGCCGCCGGCCGCGTGTGTATCTCGCGAGAAATAGGCCGAAACGGGAAATGCAAACGAAGCGTGAACTTTATAGGTTGGCTCTCGCGCCGGGAAGTATCGGGCGAAAATATCGCGCGTATCCGGAACGCCTGGAGATCGGGCATTTTCTTAATGGAGTCCGATCGGAATTTACGTCGCCGAGTGTAAGTAATTCTCGCTTGAAACTCGCGCGACGTGCTGCCAATGTCAGCGATTTGTCACGAATGCGAAATATCCATTATGAAATTGCGCTTAAGATGAAGGTATGTCTGGACATTAATAACACTGATATTTAACTCTAGACATTCTTATTGTTTCTGGCCTTCAAGTACGTATTAAAAACGTTAATTGTAGAATATATGCATACATTGAATGTATACAGAATGTTCAACGTAATATCCACTCATTTTTACCAGTTACAATGAGCGCAGGAAAAAATTAGTTGCAGTTAACCGAGTTTTAAACGTCAATGAGATGCAATAATAAAAATTTCAAAAACGTTTTTTTTCGTAAAAAAGAATCAAAGAATCATTATTTTTACGTTTTTAAGTAAAACCACATCGTTTTCTATCTGTAGTATTGTAGAAAGGACCAGAACAAATTCAAAGATTCAATATTGTAATAATTTAATTCATGATGTTATTTTTACTAACATTTAACAGTGAAAATACAAGCGGAAGATAAGATAATATTTGGAATACAATGTAGAACGAACAATGTTAGTGGTGCTCCGGACACATGTTCGAAATATAATTTTCTGCAACACAAAATTTCGTCCTTCATAACAGAGTTTCATATATATATCTCACTTCAATTAGGATATATATATATCTCACTTCAATTAGGATATTTCAATTTATACTTCTGCACGCTTGTGTTATACGTTGTTAGAACTCTTCATTATTATTTTACTAGTAAAATAACAATAAAGACTACATTATAAGTTGCCACTGAATATATTTGATTCTCTTTACAACACTACGAATAAAAAAAAGATATGATTTTATTAGAAAAAGTTAAGATGGCCTTTTTAAAAAAATAATTAAAACTAATAAAAATATAGTGGATACCGTTACAATAAACACACACTCTGTACATATATTCTACGTTAGAAGTTTAAATATTCATATTTAAAATAAGAATGTCCAGAGTTGGGTATCATTCATATTAGTGTCCAGACATTGGTCCAGACTTTTCGCTTACGCGATTCAGAATCAAACACTGCAACCGACAGTGTGGAAGAGAGATTTTACACGCGATTTTAAGATCGTCCTCGATTAACGATCACTAATTGTGAGATGGCGCGCGACGCTAGGCGACGCTCGGAAAAACAAATCTTTTTCAATCAAACGCACCGGTAATTTCTGCGAATGTAAATTAACGTTCGCAGCGGTTGCATTTAGAATCCGGCGCCAGGCAGGCGGCGATTCATCGTTGAAATCGAGCGGCCGTAAATAAATTGGCGCGAGCGAAACAATGCTCATTTAATTAATATCCAGGGGCGAATTACTTCTTTTAATGTTGCATCATTACGCAATGATTAATGGCGAATTACTCCCGCGTCGATTAAACCAACAACAGATGGGAATAAATTTAACGGCTAGTTTGCCGGGGCCCGTCGGCCTATTTCCCGTGCGCGTCTGCGTGTATATTGTTGAAATACGTTTTGTAATGACACGTGTGTGCTGGCGCGCGAGCGAACGTACATGCGCGACCGGTCGGTGCGTGAAATCTGGCATGGCCGGGATGAAAATGAATAACCGTGGAAATGTACAACACGTTCGTTCCTGCACAAGTGGACCGCCGTACGTGTCATTTACACCGCCATTTTCAGGAACACGCGGTTATTAAAAGGCTACGTCGCGTTCCCGATGTCGCGACATCTTGCAGTATCGGCGAACAGAAGCGCGTGATCGGTCAGGGCTGCTATGGGGATACCGAAATTCTATCTTCTCTGTCGACAGAATACTGACTTTTCCTGCAAAGTTTACGTTGTATTGTTTGTGCAGAATTACAAATGCTCTTACGAAAATACATGCGTGAATAAATTGGAGCGTTGCTCGATGTATGACAAGGATAAAAAAATTTCAAGCCTGTCAAACGTCGTGAGTTAAAGTAAATATTCGGTTGATACAAGAGATCTGTAGCGTGTATGTACTGAACGTGTGAGTTTGCTCCGCTCAGAAAAATTTCAAAGAACATTGTTGTACCTTCACACCTAAATTTTGAAGTTTAAAGATATCGGAAAAGTTTGCAGAAAGATTTCTATACATGCGTGGTTAGGTTACTGAATATAGCAAAAGAAAGCAACACACATAAAATCTACTATATGTATAAGAAATACGAAACAGATAGTATGATTGTGTTAGTGATCGTCTCTACGTTATCACATCTTTAAAGTTTGTCATCGATTTCTAACATCCCTTAAGGGAATGTTGGATACCGACATAGTAGCTTATGTATTTCGCACTGTTCTTCTGTTTGCTTATATAGAATAGCAAATATTTACACAGAGTGAAAGTATAAATGTCAATATATGGCGCAATATGTATGTCACATAAAAAACAAAGGTTTTGTAAATAAAAATTTTTTGGAAATTCTTTACATATAATGTAAAGAATTTTAAATGATTAAATGATACTCTGCCATTCATCAACACACTAGTATTTTCACTCTATATAAACATTTGCAATTCTATGCAGCTAAATAGAAAAAAATGCAAGATACGAAGCTGCATTATGTCGGTATCCAGCAGCAACTAAAGTAAACTAACAGTAAAACTAAATTTTACGCCTGATCTTCGCGCGATCTCTTTAGAAGGAAAACGGAGATGACGATATTACTGAGAGAATTACGCCGGACAGGTGATAATCTGTTGAATTGAAGAGTACAGAGGAACACATGGAGCACAATTTGTACGGATGAATGTTCGTTATGGCGAGTTGAAGTGGCGCTGCGAAGGGGCGAGTAAATTTTCGAGCGCGTTCTTACCGAGAAAACGCGCGTTCCACAGTTTTGTGAAATATTTACTTAAGACGAAACGACGGGCGATACGCGCTGCGAATGGGACTACTTTTA